ATTAAAAAAAAAAATACGTCCCTAATATTTACGGTCTTATATATCATATTTAGATCTATATCTATTTTCATTTCAAATAAAAATAAAATTAATAATTTGGCAACATATAAGTAGTTTATGAAAATATTTAAGAACAAAATATTAAATAAAATAAAATAGTAAAAGTAATTGTTTTATTGATATATGAATTAAATAGAAACAGAAGATAAATAAATTCTTGTATTAATAACTGAAATTTCTTTTTTAATAAATAATAAGTTTTTAAAAAAAAAATGAAATGAATGGATACTTCAACTCTACCTCATAGAATTTTCCATGATGTTGCATAATCTTTTGAGTTAGCAATTTTACAAAGGACATAACTCAAATTCGTAATTCAAGCATAACACATTGTAACTCAAACTCAACTTCAAAAAAATTAGTTTTATTGATGTACTGAGTTTGCTGTAGAAAGATGAATTAGTTATAAAGAATATCTATCAAAAATTTAAAATAATTAGTTATAAACAATAATAACATTTTTCAAACAGAATAAAAAAAAAAAATTAATTAAATGATATTGTTTAAAAAATGAAATTGTAACGTAAAAAAAAACTAGTGATGTACATTTGTGTACGCTTCAACAATGAATAATAGTGGGAACAAACTTTTTTATTTTATTATTGGAACAACTTTTGTTTGAAAGAGTCAATTAAAAAAAAAGAAAATTTTAGAAATGTTTTGGACCAAAGTGGTATACGTAGCTTCGCATAAAAATAGATATAAAAATAAAAAAATGTAAGAAAATGAAAAGAAATAAAAAGGGGCGGATTGCGAAACTAACTCTTAAATTGTTGTTTATTACTGATTTGGATGGGAGAGAAACAATATGAAAAATGGCTGTTTTGTCCTTCTGAACCAGTTGCAGGAATAAACGTAATTACGGTCGATGCCATTAAAAAGAAATTCCACGTCGGAGAGAGAGAGCATATTTTGGTGGAAAAAACTCACGCCAACCGATAAATCTACCAATTTAGTTATGGTAGACTTAAGGAGGATTATAGAGTTTTGTAGTAGAGAGTGTGATATTACACAGATTTGTAAGTTAGAGATACTTGTAGTGGTGGTAGATTGATTGAAATGACAGAGTTACCTAGTATAGTTACTTGTAATGGCGGTAGAGTTGGCTCAACTATAGAGTTATCAAATAGGGTAATGGACTAATGGTACTGGCGGTAGATTTAGGACCAAAAGATAGTTAGAGTTATGGGAGCGATATAGTTTCCTGACAGAGTTGATGATAGTGGCGGGAGAGTTAACAGGATGATAGAGTTAGACAGCAGACTTAACTGCAGTGGTGGTAGAATTATAGTGGCCAAAACAGTATTTGTGAGCTCTCACACTTGATGGTAGACTTGTCCACGTTATGGTAGATTTACTTGTAGTGATGATAGAGTTACGCTGACTAGAATAGCGTAAATTTGATAGAGTTAGTGCCTGATGATAGAGTTGTATATCGAATCTCTATCATCACAATACAAACTTGTACGGTGGAGTTAAGGAAAGAAAATTTGAACTAGGGTTTAGTTAGGGCGAACCATGAGGCAAAATTTGCCCCTTACAAATATTTTATATTACATTTAAAACCTAGCAATGACGACAGACTTACAATATTATTATAACTCTAGTATTGTTGTGATAGAGTTATGGTGTTGATTTAAGGCCAAGTAACTACACAACCCATCATGAATATGTACTAAGTATAAATTGAAAAATAAATGGCCATGGGGTGTTTGAGGCAATTTTCTGATGAACTAGATGGAGATAGAATTTTAGGTATGAGTCTCTGTAAAGATCTAATTGCAAAGAATTCATTGCAATTGATGGCTTGACATTCGAAGTTAATCTCCATGTGCAAAACTCTTTAGAATTTGGCTAAAATCAACCAGATTTATTGAAACTCCAAAAAAATTATGTGTTGAGTATTGATGTGTTTCTCAAGCAGGTGTGTAAATTGTAACATTTTTTTATTAAAGATGATATGGTTGTGTACATGTTAACGGAGATTTCTTATTATAATTGCAACCTTGAGATATTTATATATATTTGGTATGCATTTGACTATCTTCAGAATAAAATTAACTCTTTCATTATATATTGCCAATAATCTCATAACAAACCCCATAAATAAGATGGCTAGTTTTATTTGAATGAGTAGATAAATGCCACTAGCATTGTAATAAATCAGTAATAATTACTGTTATAGTTAAAATATAATACTATGATTAAGAATTGATTAGAAAAATATATCAAATTTTGAAAGTTGAATATATGAATAGCTGTGTAAATTGAATAAGAATTATATAGTAAAAAAATTCAAAATAAATTACTTTCCCCACTTTTTTAATTAAATAAAGAATGAATTCTTAATTACACTAGATTATAGATCAAACTCTATGTTTATTACAGCTTGCTTGTATCCATTTCTCCGCCACACTTGTTGCCAGTCTTGGCCATCTCTTTCATGCTCTTTAATGGCTGGCCTTATCTCATCGTACAGTGACAAGAGCCGTACTGCTGCGTTCTTCTTCACCTCCTGGGATATGATTCTCAATCGTCTCAGTCATAACATGCCTTTTTCCTAATCTCACATATTAAAACCAAAACCAAAGTAAAGTTTAGAGTTTCTTATTGAAAAGGATATGCATAGTGTCCTGCAATCACATTTTCCTAACTCTGTCACAGTAAGTTAGAGCTGAAATGAAAACACACAACAATTAATCAGTGACTGAAGTGCATAGTTTAAGGACAACAACAAGCAAGTCGAGTAAGCCAATAAACAGCCAAAAAAGTTTAGGACTCCTTGGGCAGATGGAAATAACTAATCAAGAAGAAAGAGGAATATAAAACTAGATTGTGATATCTAATGAACCAAACGTACCCATTTCCCCATAGCTTGGCTATATTCACCAGATTTGTCTTTCCTCTTTGAAACACTACTCATGTTCAAGTTGAACCTTGAATTTAATACTGCCTACACTCAAATCATTTGGAAACAAAGCAATAAAAAAACCAACAAAAACTCAGATTTTGAAGATTAAAACGAATCTAGTCAGAAATTTCTCTTACCGTTAATAAATGGCTTTTTCTAATGCCAAAAGAGAAGAGAAAAGTGGTGAAGGGTTGGGTACCAGTATCTTCATATAATCGAATCGAATTAAGAACCCAAATCTGGATAATTTCAAAAGAAGAAAAAAAAAAAAAGCAAGAACATACCTGGGAAGATTCTGAAAGTGAAAACGAAGCTGCTCTTCTTCTTCAGTCATCTCCACCATAGAAGGAGGCACCACACAAACCTCTCTCTTTTTTCTCGGCGGCTGAACTTTGAGAGCAAAGAATCATTTTTTTTTTTTGTATTGTAATTAGGTTTAGTTTTCTTTTCTTGGGTTTTAATATTATATTTAAATTTTTGTAAAGAAAAAATTATAATGGCAGTTATGTAATACAAAAAAAAACCATATGGCCTTTTGTCATTTACTTAAATTTTTGAGCTATTTTAGTTCTAACAAATTTTGAAGGGCTAGTCTAGTTATTAATACACATTTATGTGCTAGTTTCGTTATTTTTTCAATAAAAAGTCATAGTTGTGATAGAGTTATGGTGTTGATTTAAGGCCAAGTAACTATACAATCTATCGTGAATATGTACTAAGTAAAAAAAAAAAATAGTAATGGCAGTTACGTAATTAAAAAAAAACTATATGGGTTTTTGTCATTTACTTAAGTTTTTTAGCTAGTTTAGCCTACCAAATTTGGATGAGCTAGTCTAGTTATTAACACAGATTTACGTGCTAGTTTGGTTCTTTTTTCTAAAATAACATCAATAATTACAAGCCTAATATGTTCATCCGATGATGTCAAAAAGTGAAGTGATCTGCTTCTTGAACATGACCTTGGATTGAAACTATTACATTAATGCTAATAACAGCATACAATTTTGAATGTGTACGTTACAGACCACAAATAGAAACGTTAAAAGAATTCTCCAAACCATATTGCTTAAATTCTCTTGAGTTTTTTTATCTTTTCTTTCAAGAAAGAAATAAAATCAAACAAGTAGTTAACTAGGACGTGTATTATAAAAAAACTAACCACAAAGAGGAAAAGCTTTTTTATCCGCCCATTGTACTTATTTAAACATTTCACAATCTTTTACCTTCTAAGAAAAGGGTAAAGCTCATACCTAAAGCTACAACTCCTACCATAAACTCTACCTCCTGGTTTACGGTAGAAGAACTCTCCATACTTAGAAGCAATCCATTCTTGACAGGCATGGCAACCGTTCTGCCATAAGTCTTGCGTACACTGCACCATTGCATACATTTTATTTCTTCCAATCATCATCTCACCCACTGCATAAAATGGTCCCTTCCCGTCATTTTCCTTGCTATCCTTGGTGGCATCCAACATTAATTTGTGGAGGAGATCCCTCCTCTTATCTTCGAAGTGTTTCGGATCGTGAGTCACGTTGGTCGGGTTTGACATATAGTACATACTTTTGTAATGGATCCTCCCCTCAGTATCGACCGAAGAAATCTCCAAAAGACACTGCTCGTACCATATCGAAGCTCCTCTGTTTCCCGGACATCTCTCACGAAGCTGTCAAATATATACATTTATTAGACACCAGTCAAGAACAACATTGCATGGACTAATTCACATATAATAATTTAATTCACACATAATAATTCACATAGATATTTTATATAGTTACCGCTACAATTTAACCATGATTGCATGTATGTTTGCGCATTTATATTCATGTAATTATGTGACTGTGAAGTGAAATTACCCCCGAGAGAGCTATTTTGAGGCAGGAGTGGCACTTGGGCCCAAAGGAGTCACCCCGGCACTGGAGCAAAACGAAGACGATGTTAGGATCCTTGCTGACTTTGTAAGCCACAACATTGGAGGAGTAGGAGTAACCAAAGCTAAGATCGTGGTTAGATATGTTACGGAGAACTTGCTGAAGGTTCTTATCGAACACACTCCCCGCCCTGTATCTACCTTGGGTGTTGTTGCAATTGTGGTTCAAATACTCATTGGTAACATTCTGGGAAGAAACGTTGCGTAGAAGGAGAAGTTGTATGGTCACAACGACCAAGATAGGGACCGTACCTAAAATATTTGAAGACATTTTTTGGGTTTCTTGATATTTTCTGAAAGGTTACTTTTATTTATTTATTATGAAGTGAATCCTTGAGGATTTCGAATGTTACTTGATTATGAGGGATGTTGAATCTTAAGAGGAACTAATATATTTCATAATTTTATAATAATCAGGATTGGTGGAAGTTTTGACCTTATAACACATGTTTGTGTAAGAAAAGAAAGAGATGTTGGACGTTGAGACTTGGTATTTTCGCCGACAAAAGAGCGTCGATGAAATAGTCAAAGTTCGAATGTTTTTCCTATTTTAATCTCTTAGAGTCGCACGATACGTAGTTATGTAATGACAAGACTCTTTTTCTTAAAATAGATTGGATTCCAACAGAAAATACAAAGTCGTCATTTAAATCCTCAAACTTTGGGACTTGGAATGTATATTCTTGAGAAAATATATATAAAATTCTAAATAGATAGTTTGAGGAATTACAAACTAAACTATGAAAATTTGCATTTGGTATGAGAAATTCGTATTTGTATTTGTCAACAATCTAAAACATATATAGATTTATCTTCTTCTACAGTTGTACTTCTTTTTTAACATCTATACGTAGATTTATCATAAAATGAGAAATCAAAGAATTATTACAAGTTTTTTTTTTTTTTTTTTAAATTATTACAAGTTGATGATACGGAAATTGTACTTTTGATATTGTTGTTGGAATGTTGTATAAGTTGTAGATTTTTATCATTGACTGATATTTTTAGGTAATTATTCTTTCTTCATATAATGAATACTCTTCTTCTGTAATGAGTATTGTAATTAGTGACTAAAATATTTAAAGTGTTAACATCCAAATATGAGCGAATAACTTTCTAGCGGGTTTTTTCTTTATTTTTCTGAGTTAATAATTACAAACATACTAAAAAATATATCATTATTTTATATAAGCCGTAAAAGTAAAGCCCAATACCATTAAAATAAATTAAAAAAAATAGCATCTATTCCAAAAAAAACCCAAAATTATAGAAAATGAATCACATAAATTTTGATTTTATTTGCACAAAAAAACTCATTCAAAAACAGGAAATATACATCAATATATTGCTTCCATAAAAGGTCTAAGTTCTTACAAAAGGGTAAAGCTCGTATCTAAAGCCACAGCTGGGACTCAAAACTCTTCCTCCTTGTTTACCATTGCAGCATTTGGGAAGCTTTTCCATAATCCCATCCAAACACACACTACAATTAAATGCCGATAAGTCCTTTGTACATTGTACCATTGCATACAATTTCGTTGTTCCGAGATTTTCAGCACCCGCCGCATACAGGTAGTCTCTCCTGTATGGCAGTTCTTTTTTATTAATTGCTTTCTCCTTCAGCTCACAGAGGAGCTCCTTCGTGTTCTTGTTGAACGCTATTTTATTGCTGCTCACATCCTTCGCGTTGTACATGTAAAATATGTACCTATAATCGATTTCACCTAAGCTAAAGATCGAAGAAATGTCGAGAAGACAGTTGTCGTACCATATTATTCTCCCTTTGTTGTTCGGACATTTCCTACGGAGCTGTCATAATATATAGTCACAAAGTTTTATATATGTAATCATGTATAATAGCTAAATTGACAATACTGAAATGATCGATGTTACATCAGATAATGCGGTATTGATGCAAGAGCGGCATATGGATTCAGAGGCATCGGGCCGGCACTGGATCTTGGCATAGATATTAGTCGGACCATCACCACCCGCGCCGTTGACAAATCCGTAGCTTAGTTGGGTGGTCATAAAATTTACAAGACGTTTAACAGCTCCTTCGTACGAACTCCCCTTGGCTGTTCCTTCACTCTTGATGCATACGTGGTTTAGATACGCATTGGTCTCGTTTAGGGACAAAACACTGTGCATAAGAGGGAGTTGCATAGCTACCATGGCTAAGACGTAGACCGAAAGGAGAGATTTTGAGACAGAGGATGAAGACATTGTGTTCTATGTTGATAATTTGTCCGGAGAAGGCTATTTTTATTTCATTAGATCAATCTTAGAGTTGGAGTGTTTATATAAGACACTGATCAAGGGATCTCAGATACTTACAGAAAATGTGTTTAAAATTTATTTCATAATTATTAGAAAGAGTTGTACTATTTATGTTTATATGGTTACGTAACACAAAATCTGATTGCTCATTTCCGTTTCTTTTCAGGATAAATGTCTATAATCTAACGGACAGGAGAGATGAGTTCGGGGTTAAGACTTGGTATCTTCGGCGAGAGGAGAGGAGGACCAATGAAAAGTCAAAAAGTTAAAACTCTTTAAAATATAAAATTACTCAACGCTGAATTTCAGTATGTGAAGATTCAAATGTTCAAGGGTTTGTATGTTAATTCTAAATTATTATTTTTCCAAAAAACAAAATAAGAAAATTTCGTTTTAGAACAAAAACAACGCAACAAAATTGGTCTTATAATGCAATTAGTTTCATGGTACAATTATAATGCAATTAGTTCTGTATTATTGTGTACATAACTCATTGAGTAGAGAATTAAAATTGTAGTAAAAGAGTGGAGGATTTTGTGAATATTGAAGACAAGTGTGTATCCATTTGTTTCTTATATCCATATATAATAATACTCAATGGAACAAATCAAACAGGAACACAATGACAACATCAGCAGATGAAGGACAATTTTTGAACATGCTCATCAAGCTCGTTAAGGCTAAAAACATCACTACAAGATCGGAGTTTACACTGGTTATTCTCTTCTCGCCAGCTCTCTTACATATCATAGAAAGAAATGATTCAGGGACAGAGTTGCGGACTTAATCCAAACTTTGTGTGGGGTTATAATCCACTAAAGAGTGTGTTATACAATATAAATCACAAAGAGTAAATTACATTTAAAGGATATTTCTAAGTAAACAAGGTTATTCAAAAAATATATGCATATCATCAATTAGCCTCTACGTTAGATAGTTGTAAGTTTTACAAAGGGGTAAAGCTCATACCTAAAATTACAACTTGTACTTAAAAATCTGCATCCTTGTTTACCGTTGCAGCATTTGGGAAGCTTCGCCAGAATCCAGTTCAAACACACACTACAGTTTTTAATGGATAAGTCTTGTGTACACTGCATCATTCCGTACAATTTCATCTTCCCGAAACTTTCCTCCCCTGTCGCATACAAGTAATTTTTCGTGTTTGGAACATTTTCTTTACTACTTGCTTTATCCTTCAGCGTATAGAGGAGAGCCCTCCTCTTCTCGTTGAATGACTTTGTATCACCGCTCACATCCTTTGAGTTTGAAATATAGAAATTGTTCTGGTAATCTATTTCTCCATAGGTACGAGACGTTAATATTGTGAGAACACAGTTGTCGTACCATATTATTTTTCCTCTGTTCTTCGGACATCTCCTACTTATCTGTCATATATACACAATCAAGATCAAGAACTGTTGGTTTCTTTGATACTATATACATATGGTCTTTTTTGGTACTATATATCGCGTTAAAATGCCAGTCAATATTATCTCAATCAGACCATCCCAATATAGTATCAGGATGCTAAGATGTAACCAAAACTAGTGTACGTACATGTGTGCGTGCTTTATATATGTAAGTGCGTGACATATGACTGATATATATAAAATCAAATGACGTTACCCCAGAAAAGGCGGTGTCAAGGCAAGAGCGGCACGTGGATGTGGAGGAGTCCCCCCGGCACTGGAGCTTTATGTAGGGGGCATAGTCACCACTAAAGACGACAACGTTGCCTAAAACTGAGATAGAGATAATTTGGATGAGATTATTAAGGTCTCTCTCGTATTTACTACCTGACTTGTATGTCCCTTGACGATTAAGGCATATGTGGTGTAGATATTCATTTGTCTGGTTTAGAGACAAAACACTCTCAACAAAAGAGAGTTGCATGGCCACCACAGCCAAGATAGGGATCGAAAAGAGGTGTTTCGATACAAAGGATGAATACATTCTTTTTTAGGTTTTGTTTTGTTTACTAGATGGAGGAGTTTGCTTTGTAATATATATTGTGAAGAAGTCGGGAAGCTTATATAGAAGTTCGATGAAATCGGATACTTAGCGGCAATGTATTTTTAAAATTTTATTTGATAACTAATAGAAGAGATTATTGATTTCTTAATTTGATTGCTTATTTCAGTGCTTAGCATGAACGTTTATTGTCGGTAATGGATACGAGAGAGAGAAGTTGGGGGGGGCTTAAGACTTGGTATTTGCGGCGAGGGGAGAGGAGGACCAGTGAAAAAGTCAAAGTTATATTTCCTAATGATCGTATAATATGGTCATTGTCAAGAAGTACATGTATATCTCTCAAGCGAAAAAAATTTAATCACCTTTCTATAACTCTTGCACAATATTCATAACATGTAGTTTACTATACTTTCTATATAGAAAATGATTGATCGGGAAAGATTGTGTAAAGCCACTCGTAAATGTGGAACAAATAAACCTTGCAATATTATCTTTGAAAAAGAATGTGTCTTGACTCGAGAAAACATGGATTTCTCACTTGCTACTGATTTGCAAATCAAGATTAACGACCAAACACACAAAAATCATAGTGAAGTGGTGTTAGTTATCTTCTTGCCTACGAGTTGATTATAATGAATAACACTGGATTAGATTTAATTGACCAAAACTAGTTAGCTGAGAAGAAAAAATCAATAGCTACATGTTTTTTTGAAGGATTTTTTTTATATTCGATGAAGGCTGTAGAAATTGTACACTCGGTCCACATTTATTTTACCATTAAGTAGCATAAAGAAGTACTGTGTTATATAAAACAAAGCACAGAGGGTACTATAACTTTCAATTCGCGCAAAACACGTTATCGGACAAAATAGACAAAATATACATGTGGAGCTTCTCATCATATAGTCTCAATTCTTTACAAAAGGGTAAAGCTCATACCTAAAATTACAGCTCGTACTCAAAACTCTTCCTCCTTGTTTATTATTGCAGCATGTGGGAAGTTTCGCCATAATCCAGTTCAAACACACATTGCAATTTTTAATGGATAAATCCTTCGTACACTGCACCATTGCATACAACTTCATCTTGCCGAGACTTCCCTCCCCTGCCGCATACAACTTCTTCATTCTGATGAGCCTATTTTCCCCGTTTTGCGGTAAGTCTTGCTTGCCATTATTGTTTTCTTTACTAGTAGCTTTTTCTTTTAGCCTGTAGAGGAGAGCCCTTGAATTCTTGTTGAACGAATTTGTATCGCCATTCACATCATTCTCGTTGTACATATAGAAAGTATTCTGGTAATCAATCTTGCCTAAAGAGTTGATTGGAGAAATCTCGAGAAGACAGTTGTCGTACCATATTATTCCCCCTTTGTTGTTCGGACATTTACTACGAATCTGTCAAATTATATATAAATAGTTAAACCCAAACCAAGAATAATATTACACTAACCAATTAATATGTAAATAGTTTTTTTTGTTCAAGTGCTAAAATGCTAATCAGTATTATGATCTAAACCAAACCACCGTAGTAGAGTATCACAATCATCATGTAACTATTATGTGTATATATCGAGATGCAATTAAGTGTTATAAATAAAATTATTTCATTCATAACTAATCAGTGAGGTACTAGGGTCTATCCGATAAAAATTATCATCTCAAAAAAAATGTGTTAAGATCACACATAGAAAACTTGCAAGCCATATAACAAATTTATATGGAACATATATTACGAATTAGTATTGAGCTGAAAATCCATTAAAGTTAACAATTTTCCAATGACCTCACCTCGGAGAAGGCAGTGTCGAGGCAAGAGCGGCACTTGGACTCATTGGAGTCCCCCCGGCACTGGAGCTTTCCGAAAACTTTATTGGGAGCATCACCATTGGAGCCATGGACGAAACCATAGTTAGAAATTGAGATAGAGATAGCACGAATGACGCGGTTTAGGTTTTCCTCGTATGGACTCCCTGGTTTGTATGTCCCTTGACCGTTGATGCATGTATGGTGCAAATAAGCATTAGTTTGGTTCAGCGAATTGGTTTGATTCAGAGACATAACACTGTGTGAAAAGACTAATTGTATGGCAATCATGGCAAAGATCGAAACAAGGCGTTTTGTTACGGACGATGGAGACATAGTTTTGGAATTTTATATTTTTTGTCCCGAAATAGTCGATGTTTGTCTAAATAATTTGTGAAGGAGTTGAGAGATGTTTATAGGAGATTCAAGGGATTATGGATATTAAGTAGAGATGATTTTAATATATTTTTTTCTAATCATCTTTTTGGATATTTTTACAAAATAAAATAAAAGAAACGTTTTTAGTTTGTAATGGACAAGAGAGCGGAGTTAGGAGTTGAGACTTGGTATTTGTGGCGTGGGAAGAGGAGAACCGATGAAATAGTCAATGTTCGAAGGATTGTCAAAAAATATTGTTTTGTCGAAAAAGGTTCGTCTAATTTAAATACCCTAGGTCATCTCCAACGGTTATACTATGTTAGAGATGCTAAAAAAAAAAATTAATAATATTTTAATTATATTATTATGATTTAATTTTTTAATAAAATTGGACCATTCACAAAGATACATGTATACTTTGTCAGAGAAATAGTGTTAGCATCCGTTCTTTAAAATAGCACTTTTAGAGTCTTTCTATTTTCTCTTTCTTATTTTTTTTCTATTTTACATTTTTCTTTTTGTTAACACCCTTGTTAAGCATCCCTTGTTGGAGATGCCCTTAGAATTATGCGATATGCAGGTAATAAATATAGTTTTGACAACGTATTTTGCAGCTTCTTCTATTGCAAAAATACCCTTTTGGTTAAGTTAATATAAATAAGAAGGTAATAAATATATTCAAGGTTCTTTATATATTTGGTTAAGTTAAACTTGGATATAGAGATTCCAATTTGCAGCTTCTTCTACTGTCAATGTAAAGTTCATAACGCTATTTTCTTAACTAAAATATTTTTATAGAAAACGTTTTACAACCAAAATAGATGTGAAATTTAAAGTAATAATTTATGAATTTAAGTATTGGACTACAAAATACATGATAAACCATTCTTCTCTTTTATTTTTATTGTATTCAACAGCTTGTTGATAATGTAATAGTTCTTAAAATTTGTGAATACTATATGTTTTTTTGGTTTTTTATTGTTGACAATAATTCAACTAACTGTATAATTAAATGTAAACTCTCTATTTTTATTATATTCGTTAGTCATTTACACTTCAAAAAATGTCAATCTAAAAACGGAAGAGCGTAGAAAATTAGTAAAACATTGGAAAACAAACAATTCAACAACAAAAACAACAAAATGCAGATTATAGGATCAACGTTGGTAAAAATAAATGTACTTCGATAGTTCCATATATTCAACAATTACATTACAATATAATAGCTTTGTTAGTAGAGAGCTGCAAAATTCCACATCTTTCACTTTGTAACACCATCCGAACGAAACCCTCTAACAAAAGATTTGTTTTCTTTTTCTAATGGTCTTCAAATCATGAGAAAAGGGTACAGCTCATACCTAAAATTACAACTCGTACTCAAAACTCTTCCTCCTTCTTTACCCTTGCAACATTTAGGAAGCTTCCCCATAATCCATTTTAAGCACACATTGCAATTGTTAGGTGTCAAGTCCTTTGTACACTGCACCATCGCATACAACTTTTTCGTCCCAAGGCTCTTCTCCCCTGCCGCAAACATGAAGTCCTTCTTGCTCTTTTTGTTGGCTTTCTCCTTCAACTCATTAAGTAGATCCCATGTATTCTTGTTGAACGCCTCAAGATCACTTTTTACATCCTTAGCATTGTACATATCGAAACTGTTCTCGTAATCAATCTTGTCAAAGGTATCGCTTGGAGAGATCTCAAGAACACAGTGATCATACCATATTATTGTCCCCTTGTTTTTCGGACATCTCCTACTAATCTGTAATATATATGTAGACACCAAAATCAATAACAATATTGCACTGACAACTAATTATAAATCTTATAATTCTATACTAGTGTAACATGTAAATTATATTGACCCAGTAAAAAAATATCATAATCACTAAACAAAAGGCGACGTGTATGAGCATTTATTTATGTAAATATGTGATAGTTAATCAATAATGTTGAAATAACTTTACCTCGGACTTGGCTGTTGCAAGGCAAGAACGGCATTTGGAGAAGTAGGAGTCTCCCCGGCACTGTAGCTTAATGAAGACAGCGTTGGGAGCGTCACCGTTGGAGGAGTAGACAAAACCAAAGTTATAATTTAAATTAGAGATAGTACTGATGAGACTGTTGAGGTTTTTATCGTATGGACTCCCCGGCATGTATGTTCCTTGTTCGTTGATGCAATTATGGTTTAGATACGCATTGGTCTGGTTCAAGGAAAAAACACTCCGTATAAAGAACAATTGTACGGCCACTATGGCAAAGATAGGGACAGAGGATGATAAATACATTGTTTTGGAATTTAGTAATTTCTCCGGAGTTGGGATGATTTAATTTTTAGATATTGAGTGGAGATGGTGTAAAACAGAAATTGGTAAATATTAGAAATTTAGTTTCTTGTATGTTTAGTTTCCTTATACAAACTTCAGTTAATTAATTTAGTTTCTGAAATAAATGTTTTTAATCAGTAGCGGACACTCGGAGGTGTTGGCCGTTGAGAGTCTTGAGACTTGGTATTTGCGGCGAGAGAAGAGGAGGGACCAATGAAAAGGTCAAATTTCAAAGTTTTTTCTGATTCTTTTTATTTTATTTTTATTTAACTTTTTTTTTCTAGTTTAAATCTCTTGAGAGACACGAAAGTAAAGGCTTATTGAATTGATTCTATAGGTATATATTTGCAACATTAGACCTAGAATAATCTATTTTGGAATAGTCAGGATTACCCTTTAAATTTGTATGCTCAAATTAACTCAAGATTTTACAACAATAAAAAACAAATATTAATATATTAGTATTTATTTGATTAACTCTTTTTGAATTCATCATAATTCTAACTCTTCAACTTTCTGACTAGAGTAGTAAACAAATTTTTGTTCCACATCTTTGTCCAGTATTTATAGTTTATAGCTTTCGTCAACAAAACTCTGTGAGACTGACAATGGAGTTTTTTGCCAATTTCATCTTACTAAAACTGTCATTATTGATGGTCTAAGACTCTTTTTATTAGGAAGTCTCTTCGCCGACAACTTTGTCTAGAAGTATCTACTAATGACGTGTCATCGTAAAAAACATTTCACTGATGTGAGATGCACCTTTTCTTTAATTTTCACCCATGGCCGGTCATTGAAGTTCTTCAACTAGTTGAGAACACTTTTTTCATCTTGTGAAATTTTGGAAGTAGTACTTCTGTTGTTCTGTTTACATTACTAGCTAGCAACGTCAAAAGAACAAATTCACACATTTAAAATTGGATGTAGCTAGAAGCCATTACATAAAATAAAAACTAAAAGAACTAATATATAATATATGCAAATTTACGTGTGTCACGTACTGCCTGTGAAAACTTTGGACGTACGAACTCCCCAAAAAATTTGTTTAAATGTTTTATCTGTAAGTCAAAATTCACATGCCGCTCTAAACGTATGTTTATACAAAACAAACCACAAACGAAAAAAAAACACAGACAAAAAAAAGATTTGTATTCCTTCAAAATGTTTATTCAAACACAACACAACAAAAACATACATGCATATACATATTTATGTATATGCGAGAGCTCTCATCAAACGGTCTGTTCAAGAAAAGGGTAAAGCTCATATCTATAGTTACAGGTCGTACTGAAAACTCTCCCTCCTAATTTACCGTCGCAGCAATCAGATTCCTTGAGGATAATCCATTCCAAACACGCATAGCAAGTCTTCAACCATAAATTTTTCGAACACTGCACCATTGCATACAGCTTCGTCGTCCCAACTCTTTCCTCTCCTGTTGCATAAAGCAAAGCCTGGTTGTTCTCATCCATGTTGTCTTCACTAGTAGCTTTCATCCCGAGATTTAGTAGGAAATCGACCATTTTCTGTTTAAACTCCAACGACGATCCGGTGGCGTTTTTTGTGTTGGACATACAGAAGTTGTTGTCGTAATCGATCTTTCCCTTGTTAAGGATGGATGAAATCTCTATAAGACATTGGTCGTACCATATTATTCTCCCTTTGTTTCTCGGACATCTCTTACGAAGCTACGAAGAAAATTTGCATATTGACACAACAATCAATTACAACACTGCACCTATTTGAGGTATAACATATAGTTTCTATTTTTAAGATGTAACTAAACTTTAGATGTGTGTGTGAAATATGTGAAAAGTAATCAATAATATTAAAGTGACGTTACCGCCGAGAGGGCGGTGGTGTAGCAGGAGCGGCACCTTGGCCCGTAGGAGTCGCCACGGCATTGGTACATGAAGGTAACGGAGTGGGGACCTTTACCATGGGAGACCTGATCATAGCCGCTGCGAAAATTTCCTGCTGAGGTAGATTGGATGAGTGTATTGAGGTTTTTCTCGTATTCACTTCCTCGCTTATATTTCCCTTCACCGACGATACATTTGTGGCGAAGATACACATTTGTAATGTTCAAGGACGAAACGCTGTGTATAAGAAGCAAGTGTATGGCCACCACGGCAAAATTGTTGATAGAAGATGATGAAAAGTACATTGCTTTGGATTTATTACAAAAAAAGAAAAAGAAAAAAAATCTTAGATGAAACGTAAACAAGGATGTCTATATAGAGGAATTTGGATAAGTGGAGATGATTTTTTTATTTTTCTGTAGTTTTCAATTTTTGGTTTAACTTAAAACAAAATTAGATTGATCAAATAATGTTTGAGAAAAAATGTTTTCAGTTTGTAATGTAATGGACAGTAGAGAGAAGTTGGAAGTTGGCATTAGGTAATTGCGGCGACAGAAGGGCCGATGAAAAAGTAAAGGTTCAAAGGTGTGACTGAGTCTTCTTGACTTTTACAATCACACGATTCATACGTTTCCGACCATTATTAATTTACAAGATTCTTTGTGTTTTTTTTTTTCTGTAAAATATAGTAAGATTCCAACTTTAAGTTTTGTCTCATTTGCATTAATTATATATTGATGCAATATTTATTCTGTATTATTAACGAACGGATGTTGACGTACATGCACGAGGTTTCAATACATGTATTTATTTTTCTGCTGTAACGTTCTATTTTCAATTTTTTATATGGTTTTATTCATGTCATCAAACTTACCATGGTTAAATATGCAAATTATGATCTTTTAATATTTTTAATGAAATTTTCCTCTTTTATATATGGTTTCCTTGATTATTTTCTATTACTTTCATAGAATAATATAGAAATTTACACCTAAAACTTTCAAAAGTTAATTATCTAGAACTGTTTACATAAAGTGTAATAGAAATATACTCAAACTACATCATATGATATAAGAGATAAAGGGTTATTCAAAGTTTTTAAAAAACACATTCAAATTACTTTAAAAACTTGGTATAGTAAGGACTCTTGGGGCTTATAAAAGGGTAAAGCTCATACCTAAAGTTACAGGTTGCACTCAAAACTCTTACTCCTTGTTTACGTTTCCAGCATTTTTGAAAATGCACCATATAATATGTCATACACTCCTCACAACCCTTAATACTTAAGCCACCCGAACACTGCACCATTCCGTACAGATTCGTCTTACCGAATCTCTTCTCCCCGGCCGCGTACAGCACCGGCATTTTGGCCTCTTTGATTGCTTTATCTATTTCAGTGATGGCTAATTTTGTCAGATTGTCGAGGAGAAACAACCTATCTGTAAAAGAAATTGAATCGTCGCTAAGGTTCTTCGCGCTGGACATACAGAAGTTGTCATCATAATTGATCATTCCCACAGTCATGAACGTAGAAAAATCCACAACACATTGGTCGTACCATATTACTGCCCCCCTATGTCTTGGACATCTTTTATGAAGAAGCTGTCATATACACTTTGCATATTAACACTACAATCAATATCAACATTGCAAGGACTCATTTACATATAAGAGAGTGTCTCTTGTTTAATTGATACTATCAGATCTAACCAAAAACGTCATGTGTGTGTGCGTGCATGCATATTTATACATTATGTGACAGCTTATAAGTATACTGAAGTGATGTTGTTACCTCAGAACTAGCGGTGGCAACGCAAGAGCGGCATTTGGGACCGCGAGAGTCGGTACGACAAAAGTAGGTGATGGCGGTCATATTAGGTTCTTTACCCCAGGCGGTCATTCTCCAACCGGTACGAAAACCTTCAGAATCTTCCGAAAAGCCTTTGATGATTTTAGTGAGGGCGTTCTCGTACTTGCTTCCCGGCTTGTATTTCCCTTCTCTGTCTAAACATTTGTGGTGCAGATACGCATTGGTAAGGTTTAGTGAAGAAACGCTCTGTAAGAGGAGAAGTTGTGTGGCCGCAACGACCAAGATAGGGAATAGAACGAGGCGTTTTGATTCAGAGGATGAAGAATGCATTGTTTTGGATTTATTTGTTTTTTCCCTAAAGGAGCGTTGAGACTGATATTTATGTATGATACTCGGAGTAACTTTGTGGCAACAAGAGGGCCGACGAAAAAGTAAAAGTAATAGCTCCATGGTTTGTGACTGAGTTCAAACAAATTACAATCACACGATTGTACGATTATGACCTGAAATGAAGGAGTTGTTTTCTATTATTACAAGATTCCTTTGTTTTTCTTTTTTTTTCTCGAACATGATCTATTCCGATTTTGAGAATTCATCTAATTATATATATATATATATATATATATATATATATATATATATGCTAACTAGCTAGCTACAAGTCTGTTTACTAATTTTATGTACTAATACACAGGATACTTAATTATTCATATAATTTGTATTTGTTTTTTCAAGTATTCTTATATCGTTCTAATTCTTAAGTAGAACAAAACGGGCAATATTTACAAGCCATTTTTAACGTGTTTGTTCTTCTTCTTCCGATTACTTTCTGATGCTGTTGTAAACAATGAGCAACTTTACTAGTCAAACAGTTGTTGTTCTTTATTGTTTGGAGAAAATGTGGGATGAAGTTCTGGGACTTAGTCTAAGTCTTACTCTGCTATTTGGTAAACATGTTTGAGAAGAGTAACGTTACTTTCTTACTCATGTTTATATATTTTTTTTTTCATGTTTATATTATTTATTATCAATCATTTCAACTAAATACCATGATTCAATATACATATTTTCTATTTCTCATCATATTATATTTTTTTTTTCTATCAAATTTTTCGATATATTACTTTCATATAATAATTTAAAATTTTACACTGAAAAGTTTCCAAATATAATTATCTTGAATCGTTTAAGTGTAATAGAAATATACACAAACTACATCATAATGATTATTATTTTTTGCTAAATAATATAATAAATTCACTATAATTAAGGGCAAATTCAAAGTTATATAAATAATAAAACACATTCAATACTTTAGAACTTGGTATAGTAAGGACTCTTGGGGTTAATAAAAGGGTAAAGCTCATACCTAAAGCTACAACTTCTACTCAAAACTCTTACTCCTTGTTTATGTTTCCAGCATTCTTGAAAATGCATCATATAATGTGTCAGACAGGCGTCACAACCCCTATCAGATAAGTCAGCCGAACACTGTACCATCGCGTACAGATTCTTCCTCCCGATTCTCTTCTCCCCGGCCGCGTATAGCACCGGCTTCTTGATACCTTCTATTTTATCATCTATTTTAGTGACGGCTAAAGTTGTCAGATTGCTGAGGAGAAACACCCTATCTTCAAAAGAGATTGAATCACCACTCATGTTCTTCGCGCTGGGCAGACAGAAGTTGTCATCGTAATTGATCCGTCCCATGGTATCGAATGAAGAAAACTCCACAAGACATTGGTCGTACCATATTAGTGCCCCTTTATTTCTCGGACATCTCTTACGAAGAAGCTGTCATATACATTTCGCATATCAACGTCATAATCATTATCAACACCACATGTATGATTTACATATAAAATATAATTTGTCTTGTTTAATTCATGTTTTTATGTCAGATCTAACCAAAAAATAACAATGTGTGAGTGTGTGTATGTACGCATATTTATACATTATGTGACAGCTTTATTAGTAATACGTACTGGAGTGATGGTACCTCAGAACTGGCCGTTGCAACGCAGGAAGCGCACTTGGGACCACGAGAGTCGATACGGCACTGGAAGGTGCTGGCGACGATATGAGGTTCTTTACCATAAGCCGTCTGGCCGAAACCGGTACGAAAACCATATGAATCTTTAGGTTTTACGGAATAGCTTTCAACGATATCTTTGAGGGCTTTCTCATAGTCGCTTCCCCGTTTATATTTCCTTTGGCTGATTAAGCATTTGTGCTGAAGATACGCATTGGTAAGGTTCAGTGAAGAAACGCTGCGTAAAAGGAGGAGTTGTGTGGCTGCCACGACCAAGATAGGGAAGAGAATGAGACGTTTTGATACATAGTATGAAGAATGCATTCTTTTCGATTTATTGTGTTTTTTTTCTTTCTAAAAGGAGTGCTCTTAATAAGAACTTATTATGTTTTTAGCGTTGAGACTGTTATATGTATGTAGGAGACTCGGAGAAACTTTGTGGCAACAAAAGGACCGACGACAAAGTAAAAGCACGAAGATGTGACTGAGTTCAAACAATTACAATCACACGATTGTACGATAACGACCTGAAATGAAGGAGCAATTGATTTCTATAATTACGAGATTCTTTGTTTTTTTTGTTGTTGTTGAAGCACATATAAAAATATGTGTCTGTCTGCTATAACAGGCAACTACAAATTGGTGGAATGGCTTGGAATAATATAAGATAAGTTAACTGGAAATATTAGTATGTACAAATCCACTAGTTAATTATAAATAGTCATACCACTTTAATTTATTTTTTAAGTATTTATTATTTTGTTCTAATTCTTAATTAAGTATAATAAAATAGGCAATTTTACAAGCCATTTTGACATTTTTGTTCTTCCGAGTACTTTCTGATGCTGAAGTGAACAATGGGCAACTTTACTAGATAGTCGAAGAATTGGGTTTTTATCTTTTTTTTTTTTTTTGGTGGAGAAAATGTAGGTTGAAGTTCTGGGACTTAGTCTAAGTCTCATTCTGCTTACATTCTTAATCTTTTTTTTTTGTATGAACATTCTTAATCAGTTTTTGTTCTTTATATCATCAATCATTTCAGCTAATTACCATGACTAAATATAGAAATGTTCTATTTTTCTAACATAGTATACAATATTTAATTTATGAGCCTTTTTTTTACGATAACATTAGTTAAACGGATCCAAATTTATGGTTTCCTTGCTTATTTTCTATCACTTTAGAGTAATGTTAGATTATTAGTAAAAATAAAATCAAAAACTAATTTAGAATAGTTTCCTAAAATCCCTAATATAAATTTATTTCAATTACATCATGCAAATAAAATAAAATAATAAATAGTCAAAGTTAACCAAAAAAAATAATGAATTGACAACTTCGATTAGTTAGGACTAGTCTTAGGATTAACAAAAGGGTAAAGCTCAAACCTAAAGCTACAGCTCCCACCAAAAACTCTTGCTCCTTGTTTATTTTTATAGCAATCTTGATAATGCACGACCATATGTGACAAACACTCCTTACAACCCTTAACAGTTAAGTCAAGCCTACACTGCACCATTACATACATCTTATTCTTCCCGATCCTCTTTTCTCCTGCCGCGTACAGCGCCGGCTTGTCGTAACTTTTTATGTTTTTTTGTTTTTTAGTAACAGCTACTTTTGTCAAATCACCGATGAGAGTCAAAAACGTCTCCTCAAAAGAGTTCCGATCGCCGCTCACATTCTTCGCGCTCGTCAGACAGAAACCATCATCATAATTGATCTGCCCTGTAGTATCGAACGAGGAAAAATAGACAAGGCAGTGATCGTACCATATTATTGCCCCCTTGTCTCTCGGACATCTCTTACGAAGCTGTCACATACATTTTGCATATCAACGATCTATATCAACATTGCATGGACTGATTTGCATATAAGATATTTCTTCTCTTAAGAATAATGTAACCAAAACTGACGTATCTATACAGGTTATGATGTGAATGTGACGGCTAACTAATAATATTTAACTGACGATACCTCAGACTGGGCGGTGGCAAAGCAGGAACGGCATTTATTTCCGTAAGAGTCGCCACGACACTGGTAGGTGACGGAGACCATATCAGGTTCATCACCAAAGCCCATCATGGTGTAACCAGTACGAAAAGCATATGACTCATTCGACAAGGTTTTGATGATATGATTAAAGTCTTTCTCTTGCAAACTTCCCGGCTTGTATTTCCCTTGACTAACTAAACATTTGTGATTCAGATACGCATTGGTCATATTCATGGACGAAACGGTGCGCATAAGGAGCACTTGTATGGCTACCACGGCCAAGACAAGGACCGAAACGAGGTGTTTTGATAAAGAGAATGTAGAGTACATTGTTTTGGATTTTTTAGTTACCTTTTACGAAATTCCTATTGAAAAAATTCAGTTTCTAGGATAAATGATTAGAGTTTGTAACGGACATGAGAGAGAAGTTTGTATTTGCGGTGACAAAGGTCCGACGAAAGAGTAAAAAGTTCAAAGGTGTGACTGAGTTCAAACTCTCACAATCACACAATTATATAGTGACCACCTGAAATGAAGGAATGTTATAAATTGTATAATTAGAACTTAGAAGATTCTTTTGTTTCGGTCAAACATGATCAGATCCTGATTTTCACTTTTCATCTAATTAGCATTTATTAATTTAATGAAGAAAATTTTGATAAAAAAAAATTTTGTCAACATTTTGATACATTTTACTTAACATGTTTCAAAACAAACTTGATTTTGTCCAATTTCTTTTTCCAATTTTTTTTTATCAGCATCTTAAATTATAATTAATTTTCTTTTGCCAAATATTTTTTTTTGTTATTACCACTAGGCACTAGCAATAAATGACAATGTTGATATATTTGAATATGTTATTATGCTAAGAATACCCTAAATTAGCATTAAAGCAAGTTTTGATAAGCACGCACTCCACCAACATGAATGTGTCCCAAAAAAGAAAAAAAAAGTAACTTTTCGGATAATTTTATTTATTTAAGTGGGTGTTATTGGATTCTAACTTATAAAGAATTTAGATGACTCTACTAAAATCATAGATTATATGATTTTAAAGGATTCGTTGAGAGTTTTATATAATCTTGTTGATTAGTTTTTTAAAAGTCTTGTAAAGTCTCTCAAACAATCTCTGTATTTCTAAGATACTTTTCATGACTTTATTTTGTAAAGAAGAGTGTTTAAAATCATAAACCAATAACATAAAATTTTAATTTATTAACAATCAGAGATTCTTTTGTTTTAATTGAATAACACAGAACTTTTAATGACTTTATAAAACTCTGTATCCAATAACCCCATATTTATGAAGATTTTGAATGACTCTTTACAAATCAATAACTAATAACACCAAACTTTAAAAGAGTTTTGTAAAATCTTGATTGAATAACAACAGATTCTACCTAACATCTAAAGTCATTAAAACTCCATATAACTCACAAACCAATAACACCCCCTAAGTTACTTCATATGACTTTCTATAAAAATTAAATAATCAATTCATGTAAAATAAAAATTGATAATTTACAACAACATCAACAAAACAGAAAACAAAAATCTAATTGGCCGTAGTTTTTTTCAAATTGCTTTAACTCTTCAAATAAGAATTAGGACCAGTCTTGGCGTTAACAAAAGGGTAAAGCTCATACCTAAAGTTACAGCTTCTACCCAAAACTCTCGCTCCTCGTTTACCACTTTTCCAGCAATTTTGAAACTGCAAGATACTATGCACCAGACACTCGTTACAAGCCTTGATAGATAAGTCATCCGTACATTGAACCATTCCGTACATCTTTCTCTTCCTCCCGAGCCTCTTCTCCCCAGCCCCGTACAGCGCCGGCTTGGTGGCCTCTTTTAAGTTTTTGTTTTTCTCAGTGATGGCTATAGTTGTCAAGTTGTCGAAGAGAGTATCCCACTTCATTATGAAAGAAAACGGATCATCTCCCGCGTTCTTCGCGTTAGACATACATAAACTGTCATCGTAATTGAGCTGTCCTACAGTATCTGTCGAAGAAATCTCGATAAGACATTGGTCGAACCATATTATTCCCCCTTTATCTCTCGGACATCTCCTACGAAGCTGTCACATACGTTTTGCATATTAACGCCAAAACTAATATCATCGATCATCGCATGGACTAATTTACATAATATATAGTTTATCTTGTCTACTGTATATTTTATTATGCTAAGATAGTAAGATGTAACCAAAACTAGTATGTGTGTGTATGCGCAATTGATACATAGTTATTATGCGGCAGCTGATAAATAATATTGAAGTGGCGTTACCCCGGCCATGGCTGAGGCAAAGCAGGAGCGGCACTTGGACCCGTAGGAGTCACCACGACATTGGAGAATGACGCAGACCAGATCTTGACCTTCCCCAAAGGACATCATGTCATAGCCGCTAATAACATTTTCACCGACCGAGATGGAATGGATAATAGCTTCGAGGTTTTTCTCATGCACACTTCCCGGCTTGTATTTTCCTTGACTGACCAAGCATTTGTGGTTAAGATACGAATTCGTCATGTTCAAAGACGAAACGCTACGTATAAGGAGCACTTGTGTGGCCATCATTGCCAAGATAGGTACCGAAACAAGGCCTTTTGATACAAAGGATAAAAAGTACATTGTTTTCGATGTTTCTTTTTTTAGATGAATTGTTGAGGCTTTGATGTGTATGTAGGAAACTAGGAGCAATTTGGATATCTTTTAACCAAGGAAGTTTCTAATAGATTATAGAGTTTGTAACGGACAGGAGAGGAAATTTAGTATTTGCGGCGACAAGAAGGCCGAAGAAAAAGTAAAAGTTCAAAGGTGTGACTGAGTTCAAACTCTTACAATCACACGATATGTACGGTGACGACCTGACATGAGGGAATTATTATTTTCTCTGGTCACAGGATTCTCTGTTTATGAGATTGGTCAAAAATAATATAAGATTTCTCTTTTACCAAAAAGAAAATATAGAACTTCTCGTCTACTATTTGAGGTTGGGTTTGTATGTTTCTAGATTAAAAGAAAAAAAAACAAATATTGATAATTTGATATATACTTCTAAAACAAGATCTTGAGACACTGAGTTTTAACTCAAAGTCTCAAACAATAGCAAAAGAAGAGAAGTCATTTCTAGTATATGTTTCTAAAGCGTGATAAAAATATACAAAACTACATTATATTGTTTTTTCTACACAAATAAAAAAAAATTCGTATAAATAAAAATAATTCTACGGGAAAAAAATAAGAAAAACAAGAAGTAAAAGAATTTGATATTGCCTCAGATTTTCATATTAGGACCGGACTTGGTACTACTTACAAAAGGGTAAAGCTCAAACCTAAAGTTACAGCTACTACCCAAAACTCTAGCTCCTTGTTTACCATTCCAGCAATCTTGAAATTTAACAGCTAAATGTCCAACACATTTGCCACAAGTATTGTTATACAAGTCATTTCTACACTGCATCATCCCGTACAACTTTTTCGTCCCAAATCTTGTATCGCTCGCCGCATACAGATACTTATCTTCGATGGCTAAACCTACCAGCTTCTCGAGGAAAGTCATCCACTTCTCTATGAACGAATCTACCTTCATTTTCTTCGCGTTGGACAGACATACTTCATTATCTTTCTCGATCTTTCCTTGGGTATCGAATGTAGAAATCTCGAGAGTACATTGGTCGTACCATATTATTGCCCCTTTATACCGCGGACATCTCCTACGAAGCTGTCGTATACATTTTTCGTATTAGCGCCATAACCAAGATCCACGTTGCATGGACTAATTTACATATAAGATATAGTTTTTATTGTCTACTATACATTTATCTCTAAGATGTAACCAAAACTGGCATGTATGTGTGTATGCACATATTTATACATGTAATAATATGTAGTATGTGACAAATAATTTATAATGAAATGGTGTTACCCCTGCGATGGCGGTGGCGAAGCAGGACCGGCACTTGGACCCCAAGGAGTCGCCGCGGCACTGGTTGGTAACACCGACGTATTCAGAATCCGTACTAAGGGACATCATGTCGTAACCGTGGGTAAAACCATCACCGCTTGCAATGGACTCTATGATTTTTTCGAGTTGTCTCTCATGCCAACTTCCCGGCTTGTATTTTCCTTGTTTGGGTAAGCATTTGTGGTTCAGATAGGCATTGGTCATGTTCAAGGACGAAACGGTGCCAATAAGGAGCATTTGTGTGGCCACCACGACCAAGATAGGGATCCAAACGAAACATGTTGATGCCCCCGATAAAAAGTGCATTGTTTTGGATCTGTGTGTGAGACTCAGGAGAGATTTGGGTATTGAATGGTGATCGGTTTTATAAAAATATAATGTAATTTGCAATTTTTGGTTACCTTACACGAAATTCTTTTGAGAAATTCAGTTTCTAGAAGCGATGATGTCTAGAGTTTGTAACGGAGATGAGAGAGAAGTTTAGTATTTATGGCGACAAGATGGCCGAAGAAAAAGTAAAAGTTGAAATGTGTGACTGAGTTCAAACTCTTATTACAATCACAAGATGTGTACGTTGACGACCTGAAATGAAGGCATTATTCATTACTTTCTAATTTCTATATTTACAAGATTCTCTGTTTTTTCTGTCAAATAATATAGAGGTTCCAACTTTCACTCTATCTACAATTAAAATTTTATAGATACCGGTTAGTTATTGCATATTACACAAAAACGACCAAACCATCGTTAGGAGATTGTCAAGAGAATTCCAGATATAGACTTCCACAAAATGCTGAACCATGACTGAAGCCTGAAGATACCAACATAGCTGGTTCAGAAGATATTAAGACCTGTTGTGGGCTATTTATAATTAATTCTTTCAAAACAATAAGAGAAGTCACCTGCGAATCAATGCATCTCGCAGAGTAGATGTTTCTCAGGTGCTCGATCCCACTAGAAGCTCGTGAAAAAATCAGGAGGTCTCAGTTCTCACACAAATCAACCGAAATTGGCCAAACCGAAAGCAACCCAGGAAAGTTACCTTGTATTGCACCATTCGCTTTCCAGCAAGAACCAATCGGATTTTGGCTCTCGGGAATTTAGTTAGCCTTTGTGTGAAACCAAAAGACTAACTTTTCATTGCGATTAGCTCATCTTCCATACACTGCCTTATGCTAATGACCATTGATTCCTTATAGGATGGAGAGATGTCACAGCATTGGCGACGTGGAGCCTTCATCTGAGAATATCAGAGTAAGAGTGTAACTTCAAAAGTATCTCTGGACTTGAATTAATGTGACAAGTAAGGAGGTAACTAAGAATACCTGTTCAACGTCAAGCTCCAGTTTATGTGACAGTACTCGGACCTGTTTTAGATGCTTAATAGAATCAGCTCTGCGACAATTCTCGACAATATATCGTGTATAATTACTCCATGTTCCTCTAGTTCCATCTGATCCAACGTTGTCTAAAACAAATTCCAGCGGTCTACCACAACGATCCCTTGGAACTTCTCTAGTATTAAACATATAATTACTTCGTACACCTGACCCTCTCCTCCATGTATAAAATGTTTTTTGGATGGAGAGAAGATCCGGCAGGAGTTTATTCCCTTCATAAACTTGAATTGCGTAACCCCATACCACAGAAACAGTTACAGAGTTTGATGAATCGTAACACACACTTTGCTGCAAAACCCTTGAGGAATCTACATTACTAGCACGGATAAGGTGAGCCATGGCTTCTGTTCGGTTCATCTTTGGAAAGAGTGGATCAACTGCGTCCAAATGATGTAGAGACAACAGTGGAGACAGAGGATGTGCACATAGCAGCCCAAATAAACTCCCCCGTACATCAATCTATGAAACAAGAGTGACCATCTCTTAGCTCGATTTGTTAAAAGAGTACTTCCTTTCGGATTATCTCTCTGGGTAAAATGCAACCGAAATAGCTAAGCTAACAAGCAATCAATATTCTCAGGAGTTTACTGCAATTTAGAAGATCATGAGTCCAATCTAAACAACAAACACTAACTAATACACACTCAAGCTACTTAGACAAGTAATCTACAGCTTCAATCATCGAATTATACTAAGGCAGCATCACTGTCACTGCGAGCAAATCTACTCCTAAATTCTAATGAATCTAAATTCCTGAGACTGAGAAGCTCAGACTTTGTTATACCTGATGGAATCCAGGTTCATGTGTTAATGTAACACCAAGCTCAGCCAAGCAAGAGAAGATCCTGGAATCACCTCCATACATATGTGAATATCTCATCAAACAAGAATCCATAACCTTACTTAAAGCCCTAGCAAGCGAACCACTTATAGCAAATCCTCCACCACCAAATGCCATATCAAAGGAATACCTAACATTCTGATCAAAACTCTCCGAATTGCTTCCAATGTACCACCACTTACGGTGATCATACTTAGACAAAACCCTCACCAGATTCTCCACAAAGAACACAGTATCATCATCTCCGAAAACAAACCACCGCACATCCTTATCATCCCGATCCACCGCTTCCTTAGCTATACGAGCAACACGGATCGCTGATCGGAGACCGCCGGGGAAATTGTAAGGAAACCGAGAAACATCTTCAGATACGACCAAAGGAGGGAGACTCAGATCGGACTCAAATCCACCGCGATCGAGGAAGACGAAAGCTCGGGTGGACTCAGGAGAGTACCAGAGACGAACATATGAGCTACGACGGAGCCAAGAATCGTGAGAAGAAGCTATAGAGAAGAGTAAATGACGGCGGCGAGTGGGAGATAAGCCTAAGGAGCGTGCGAGTGAAGGAAACTGTGTACGACGGAGAGGACTGAAGGAGAAGATGAGGTAGATCACGACGCAAACTAAGAGAAGTAGCAAGAAGAGGTTCCGGATTCGAATTCGAGTCAGCGCCGGCGATTTCGTCGGAGACAACATTTCAGAGGAGAGAGAATCGGTTCTGGAGAGAGAAGGATCGGGTCGTCTCTTTCGACTCGTGTGGTTCATTTTTGAATTTTTTCTTCTCACTTTCTCGGCTGAGTCGTCGACTTTAGTGGAAAAGTGTCAGTCGTCGTGAGAGTGAGACACACATCGGCGGAGCTTGCTGTGTCACTGTGTGTGACTGGTTAATGTATTCAAAAGGTACGGTTTGGTGGTTTCTTTTGATTATTTATGGGCTTAATGATGGGCTTTATTAATCATATTTTTTCCATGCTACATTAACATTAGCTATCGATTTGGGCCTCCAGAGACTTATAAATTAGGCCTTAATTGAATGTATAGAATATTTGAAAACCCCAATTAGAACCTATCACTTATCAGGTTCGGATTCGGTTTGGTGTTTCATGTTTTCAGATTTTTGATTTAAATTAAAACCTAATTTATAATGGATGGTTTTGCATAGTTCTAATTTCAATTCGGCTTCGAGTTTTAGTCAAATATAATTCTTATTTTTTACTCACTTCAACTCGGTTTTTTGGAATCTCAGATATAAAAAAATGAATTCATTCAAAATATTTTTAAAAATATAGTTCAGTTTTCGGACTGAATTAGTTCAGTTTGGATGACATGAATTTATCCGGATAGGTTTGGATCGGATCAGTTTATCAGGATTAAATACTCCTAAACTATGTACAATAATTCAAATTCCAATTAAAAAGATCAATTTTGGGTAAAAGCCTAACCAAAACTAGTCTTCTAAAACTAGCTTAGGGTAGGTGCGGAGACATTAACGTCGTTGCATTTTAGTCCAATCAGTAGAAGTAAGTAAGTAACCCAAGGGTTGAAAAATCGGGTAGGAACAAATATATACTATAAAAGTTTGAACTAGTTGGCATAGAGTGGGGAATATAAAAGATCCACTTGAGACTCACAACCACTGTAGATAGAAATGTTTTTGTCATCAAACATTTTTTTATGTAATGGAAATATTATCACCTCTAAATAGAAATGGGACAATCGTAGATTAAACAATCAACTACTTTAGATGGGTTTGTTATGCATCATTTAAATGTTTGAAACGGACCAGACAGTGGTTAATCATTTGGTCCAATCCGTAGCCACGTTCTTCATCGTTCATGAAATCAATTTCTCTCATATTATTCACTTTTCACCTTTATCAATTTTATTTTTCTCTGACAATATTTAAGTTCAAAGTAATTATCACAGTTGTTTCTAATTATATGATATATTGTAATTGCTCCTTCGGATTTTGTTAAATGTTTATTACAACGATACAAATATACAACACCCCGAACTCTATTACTTTCATGTAGACTCCAATAAAATGCTTTAAAAATAAAGAGATCATCGTACGACCGTCCAAGAAACTTCTCTTACATTTTCTTTAACAACGGTCGAAACTATGTCGACAAAAAAAAAACAACGGTCGAAACTATTAAACAGATATTTTATTAACTAGCCTGGATTTGTAATGACGCGTATACATGCGTAAGTATGATAATGTGTCTTACGTACCAACTATATTTAATAAATAAAGATCTGAGATTATAAAATTCTCAAGAAAATATTGGTCACATACTTTGGGAAGATTGGACGGCCAAGGTCTCGTACCAACAGGCAACAAATAAAAACATTAATAGACAGAAAAATCTGAGGACAAAATTAGAAAAAGAAAGAAAGAAGAAAAAGCTTTGGATCTTGAATCAATATGATCCACACAAGTGGACTTATGCATCAACACTTAAATCAACTTGTGGACAACAACATCTCTTTTTCTCCATAACGTATCAAACACACAAAATATAATATTCTTCATCGATCATTATTATATCAGTCCATCTAATCAGTGTTCGTATTTTTTGGATCAGCACATACACCCTCAAGTTATCTTATATTTCGTATATGATTATCGTGGCATTTTGTCTAATTTGGTAACGTGATTTTAGATATGAGATACAATTTGTAAATTTATATATATTGTTTTGAAAAACGAGTAATATGTATGTATAGATGTATAAAGTTATATTCTTAGCATTCACTATTTAACATATTATTCTTACATAACATATATGTGACATTTGTTAAAGGTAAAGTTATGGACTGCATGTTGTTGGGTTATTTTACTCAATTATGTCATGCTGCATTAGTATTGCTTTTGGAACTATATATATGAATGTGGTTGTGAGCGGTTGATGGAAAAGAAAATATGAAATTAAACGATTTTATTTCAATCACGTACAAAAACTGTTTTAAAGGTTAGAAGAATAAAAAGGCTGAACCAGCATGGGAGACACGCAGACACCTATCGAAATTCGAAACTATATGGTGCATCTCTAATATATAAATAATCAAGGTTTTGATTTGGTCGGATTAATCTTTAACACCAAAACATGTGGTGTGGAAGAATCTAAATAACATTAATAAATCGTTCAAGATATTTAGTGATTAGTTAATTATTATATACTTTACACTTATCTCTATCTTCACGTATTTTTTTTGTAGTTTATAGAATTTAATTTAATGAAATGTATAACTCCATCATAACATGTGTACACGACGACGATGGATATTATAACCTATGTTTTAAAGCTTAAACGATATTTAGCAACGATTCTAGATTGATGTTAACACTAAACATTTTGTAATAGCTAGCTATCTTATAATTTTTATTAGATTGAGATTCAATAATATATATTTCGAACATGAATATGTCTTTAACTCTCACCATGTTTTTTTTATAAATAATGTAGTGTGTATTAAGTTGTTTTCCCAATGAATTATTTAACTTACAATGAGAACGAACAAAGAGGACTTCACTTGTATGGTTCACATCCAAAGCTACTTGAGGATGTATAACCAAAACCACCCCCACTAGTAATCCTACGTTTCTTTTTCATATAATCTGATTTGATGTGTTGTGTTTTCAATGTTCATTAAAGTAAAAATAAAAATAGAGTAATAGTTTTGTGGTCTATAACATTAGTACATACTACACAAAAAGCATGTTTTACGAATATTGTGATGTTAAAAATGCTTTTGTGGGGTAGCTTATATAATATTACGAATATTGACTTATATAATACTGTATACTTTAAACTAGTAGTATATCAATCACACGCAATGTCTAGCACTTCTAGTAATCAAACCTTATAAAATTAACTGTATTATTCGCAGTTCGTGGGGTAGCTTTCACTAATTTAAAAACAAAATAAATCTTTAAATGTGAACCATACAAGTGAAGTCCTTTATTGCTTGTTGTGATAGTAAGCTCATATTATAAAAATCAAATAAACGTTGACTGATTAACCACCACACACACAATGCCCCAAAAGACAACTAATTAATTAATAACAAAGATAATAACTTGATATCAACCCTAAATTCAAGCCGTTTCTTATGCTTACCCTCCCCATATCATCCACTAATCTCACTTGTACTATCTCTAATTTTTCTTCTTTATAGAAAATTTTGTCACATTCAAAAAAGAAAAGAATCTTAAACATAAGAAACAGATGAGCAAATTGCTAGAACCTTTTTGCTTATTCTTTATATCATTTTTGGTCAGACTAATTCTAGAACAACCTTAAATATCATGTAAATAAATTTAATTAGTGAAAGCTATACTGTTCACATTTAAAGATTTATTTTGTACAAACTTGAAATTGAAAACAAATAAAGATTAACTAATTCTAGAAGAAGAAGGAAAAACAAATCTAGAACCATAAATATCATCATTTCCACTTATTTGTTTATAAACTTTATATTGTTAGTCAACTTTTGTATCTTTCGGTGCTTCTATTTAAATTTTAAACTCGTCAATAATTTTGGTATTTCTCGTCCATCGTAATCATTTTTACAGACAATTACAATGCAATATACAATTAAAACATCGTATTGAAGTGGTTGGTGATGAGAGAGTCGTAGTACATGAGTTCTTGTTTCGAAAACTTTGTAACTTGTGCATCCCAAAATTGCGTGGACGAGAAAATATTTACCACTATTAAGGGCATTAACGTCAAAACAAAAGAACAAGATTCATCCACGTGTACAACAACAACACAACACAAATCATTTCATTCCCTATATAAAATGTATAACGTTTCTCCTACTTACAAATCTTTCCTTCTCCACAATCACCACCACCACAAGAACTAGAAAGAGAGAGAGAGACAAAAACCAAAAAACCAAAAACAAGAAAGATCAAGATTGAGAAAAAATGTGTAGAGGTTTGAATTTTAACGAAGAAGAGAGCAGGAGAAGAAGCGACGGAGGTGGTTGTCGGAGTCTTTGCACGAGACCGAGTGTTCCGGTTAGGTGTGAGCTGTGTGGCGGAGACGCCTACGTGTTCTGTGAGGCCGACTCGGCGTTTCTTTGTAGGAAATGTGACCGGTGGGTTCATGGAGCGAATTTTCTAGCATGGAGACATGTTAGGCGCGTGTTATGTACTTCTTGTCAGAAACTCACGCGCCGGTGTCTCGTCGGAGATCAAGACTTCCACGTTGTTTTATCGTCGGCGACTACGACCGTGGACGTGGAGGAGGATAGAAGTGAAGAAGTTAGTAGTAGCAATCATGAGGTTCCTTTTGTGTTTCTCTGATTTTTAGTTTTTTTTTTTTTCTTATTTTTTGGTGTAAGATATAATTTCATTCCTAGGTTTTTTTTAATGCAATTTTCTATTAAGAAAAAGTCTGGGAAATTTTAATTTTATGAAGATTAGTATTTTAAGGAAAATGGAAAAATTGGGTATTGGCTTAAAATAGCAAAAAAATCAAAATATCTGCATTATATAAGAAAGGAAAGAAAGAAGGATCGTTTGTTATTGAGTTTTATTATTCTTCGAATCTTTTTACTATGCACTATATGCAGTGTTTGTAACCATAACCAAAAAAAAATCACTAAACTCAATGTTGAAGCAAGAATCAATCAGAGCGGCATATAGAAGAATCTCTTGTTTGGCATTTTGTTAGATTTATTTGGTTTTTTTTTTTGGTTGTTGTGGATCTTTCTTACTACATACTTATCATTTTCCTTAAATTAGAAGCTATATACTAAATTAAAGTAAGTAACTAAACTTCTCGATCACAAGTAAATGATTCTTCTTAATAACAATTATAGAAGTTGGTGGCTTCTTCAGGCTAGCTAACTCACTACTAATCTAGTAATTTTAGACAAAGATGATGCGATCAAGAAGAACAAGAACTATGTTTCCTTAATTATGGCCTTCTTCGGGCTACCCTTGAAGCACGTTAAACGCGTGCTATGTATACAGCCTTTATACAGACAAAGAATGAAGCAGATTCTAACAACTTCAACTTTATTCATACAAAGAAATCATCTGTGAAATTTATTTGTAAAAAAATTATGAATTAGGATTTTTCCTATTATTAAAGGAAAAATATAAATGATCGAAAACATCAAAGAAATACAAAATTAATGAAAGCAAAAATTAGAGTAGTGTAACCATTTTGGCTTCCACTATCTTCGTTTAGTTCTCCAACGTTCCCATGCTTGCCTCAACATGTTGATTTATTCGATTCATAAAAACTGTACACGATAAGACAAAATGTTACATTACTTTTCCGACAAGAAACTGTGTTTTACCAACCTTATCATCATCATCATGAAGCATGATTTGTCTCTGATTGTATTAGGAAAGAGTAAGCAACTGTACATTTTGTTTTGTATAGAGAGTTCATTGGTTATTCGGCGGAGATGATGGGTCATAATCATAATTGTCGCCAGCTTTCACAAATCTTCCTTTCACTCTTTTTCTCGAGTCAGCTCTCGCTTTGCGAGATGCATATCGAATCTGTTTCCCAAACCTACAATTCAAACATTATATAAACTCTGTTTGGTATGAACTCTGTTTTGTAACTGTTTTAAATAAAATGAATAAACTTACGAGCGCTTTAGTCTCTTCTCCTTGTATCTCAACTTAGCCTGGTTCCTTGCTTGTGGACAAGGAAGTTCAAGATTCGATTCCCATGGGGCTTCACTCATTATAAACCCTGGAGACATCCTATAATCCGCTGCACTGCTTTCACCTGTGATGTTGGAGATGGTAGGCGACATGGTCGGATGGATTTGTCCGAACAAGACAGGTGATGGAGGAAGAGGAAGTCCAATAGTGTTGATGTTCATTTGAAACGGACCTGACAGATAGTTAGTGCAATCTTGCTGTCCTGGTGAAGTTGTCTGAAAACAGAATATAACTTCATTTTCATAAGAAAGTTATCTTGAGGTATTAGAAACTACAACATCAACAAAATGCTAAAGAGACCTCTAAAGCCTTGTCTATAGTAAAGTTCGAGGCGGTAACGGATGTGTTATCCTTGTCGCTGAATAGGCACTTTGGTACCATATGGTCTGGTTCTTCTGATGAAAATCTGATGATATCATCTCCAACGTCAAAGTTTAACGGCGCATTATCCAGGTTTAGCTCTTCGCATAGATCATCTTCAAGTTCAAGAACAAAATCAGGACATCCCTGGAAACACAAATGCACACAAATAAGACTAATGCATTGTCCATCAAGAACTTTGTAAAACGAGTTAAATTCCTCTGTATATAGTACCTTAGATTCATCGGAAAAGAAAGATGATTGATCACTAAAACTCTGAGTGTAACTGATGTTGTTGTGTGACACCAAGGAATAAGAGGAAGCGATCAAACCATCTAATTCGTTGATTTTCGCCATTCCAAACGCTGTATTATTGTTGGGATCATTCAAGGGCAAAGAACCAACTAACGGACTGACCAAACCAGAGAAGGAAGGTTCAAGAATTGAAGACCACATTCTATTAAAATCTGTTGGAGAAGGACAACCAGAGAAAGGATTTAAGCTCTGAAGTGTATGTCCTAACACCGAGCAATCGCTTGCATGCCAGTGGCATCCTTGGCAGTACGATACCTTATCGTCGAGACAGCGAATCACAGCTGGTTGTGAGAAGCATTTCTGGCAGATCAAAGAGCGTGTGTGTCTGTGAGACAGAGGATTCGCAGAGTGTACATGGACGTCGCAGTTTAGGCAAACTTTAGCCAAATCAGATTTGCAGTAAATCACAGCTTGTGCGGTTGCACAGTGGTCACACTTTGGCTCTATACTTGGAGACATGATGAACAAATATGATTTATGTAAAAAAAATATAGAAATGTATAGATTTATAGACTTGAACTTGTAGAATCCAATCGGAAGTAGAATGAGACGTTTAATTTTTGTTATTTGCCGATCAGCAAACACACGTAAGATCCTGCACCAGCACGACAGAGATGAATCATGAACATTTTAGAGATAGCTAAGACTCAAATCTTGAAAACAAAAAAAAAATGATGATTTTGGGGTTTCAGGTCGTATCAATATGGATGCATGATGGGGTTTTGTGTTTTAAATTTGACAAATGTCGTAACATAAAGACATGTAAATCTGCGTGTACGTTGTGAGTGTGCTTGTTGAGATAGATGTGAATTGTAATAATTGTTACGTTAAAAGCGTCTATGGAAGAAGAAGCACTCACTTGGTAATTGCCGAGATCGATTAGTCCGATTCACAACCTTGGTAAAATGTAGAAAACAACGAAAAACTCGAAACCCAATAGGGGAAGAATACACAAAGAAACAGATTACAATCTAGAAACAAATTTTTTTTGTTTACGAATTGAATTATATATGAGAATGCAAAGAACGCAAAAAAGAGATTTTACAGTGGTGTGCTAATCACGTAGAATAAGAAGATGAGAGAGGAGAAAAGGAGTTAGGGTTGATCTCTATTTATATACTTTTGAGAAAACGTGTGCTCACTTCACGCAGTGGAAAAATCAACGTGGCATAGTAATTAACGAGTCGTCACATCTCATGTAATTTTTATATAAATTAATGAATGCATGCATTATGCATAGGTATTGTGATTCAATTTTTAATTATCGATCGTCGTTGTTCGTCAAAGGCTTATTTGATTTTTTTCTTTGCTCAATAGATTTTGTTACTCCCTGTGGCAAACCTTAAAACTCGGTTCTTTCGGGTTGATACTTTTACTATTTTACTATAGTTACTTACTTGTGTGGTTCCCAAGAAATTTCTTGATATATCGTTTAAAACGCGTACGTAACTAATGCTACGTATCGTTAATTACTTGATTAATATTAATTAGGGCATGCACGTTTTTTTCTTTTTTTAAACAATGATATTACTATATTAGTAGTATATTGTCTCACCTAGTCTGAATTGTAATATGTCTTTTGATATCTGTAACATTTGATATATAAATGTGCATGAGATAATGAGTCATTTTATTTGTGATGAATTAGGCCACATTAACTTCTATATAATCATCCACCTAACAGTTCACTACGTACCTGTGCTAATTATTTTAGACATTGAGCCATGCATGTATATATATAGTAACTACTAATATATTTACTTTAACTAGTTTGAAGGGCTCTGCAGTTGACTCTTGAATTTAAAAAATATATATATATATATGCTTTTAATTTTTAGCATTTTCTAACTTATGGATTAGGCCGGCCTGAAATTTTGGGATCCCAAACTAAAATCATTCGTAAACTATTTCATAAGAAGTTGATTTTAAATAGAAAATTTGTTAAATTTGAACTAGTAATCTTTTGACATAATCTTCAGAGAACTAACTACTAACTACTCAAAATTGATAAATATGGTTTTAGAAAGAAAGGATAAAAATGCCCCAAGCAAAGAGAATGATATATAGATATGATGGATATAGAGAGAAAAATGAGTAATTGGACAATTTTATATGTCAATGAGGATAAATGAATAAGACCACATAACACATCTAACCAACTTATATATGTATATGAGTTAACGCAACGCGTATGATACAGTTTATATATAGTTTACATTAATATAATTAATAATACAATGCAGTATCTATGACACAGTTTTTGTATTTTTGAGTCTTTTCAAAGGAAACGTGTACTAGTCTCGGGCGAGAACATTAATTATGGAAGAAGACCCGGAAAATCTATTGGTAATTAAAAGAGAAACAATAATAATAATATCGAATGCAAATTTATCCCTTTATTATTTTGTTAGGCAACTGATTTAAATTGCTAAGAACATCCTCATTGCAAGGATCTTAGGGGGTAAGATCTCCTAAGATTTGCAAAGGAAATATCTTATATAAGGTTTTTCCTTTGCAAATCTTAGTGGATCTTAGGCCATGGGTAACGCCGTATCTATCTCTCGTCCTTCACCTTACAACATTTAAAAGAAAATGATAAATACATAATAAACGAAGGACCGTTCTCTCAAACGAGACAAATAATGGCCGTCCTTCGGGCCACATGGCAGGCGTTTATTGGTTGTTGGTTTAGTGAAGGGAAAAAAAATTTGGGGTTTGTTCGTGTTTTAGTTTTTCTCCGCAAAACGCAGACGCATCCAAAATCAAAACTGCTTCCTCTCTTCTTCTCTCTCTCTCTCTCTCTGATCGATTTTTTGGGTTTTTCCGATCATTCAACGGTAATCTCCGCCGTTTATTTCATCAGCGGAGGAGGATCTAATCTCCGTCGTGATTACGAAATTGACTTAAGAATTTGTAGGTTGATTTTGTTGTTTACTTGTGTATTTTTTTATTCTTCTTCTCCCTCTTCTATGAGGTTTTGTTAATTCATTTTGTATCCATTAGAATTGATCGCTTAATTCATAACATGAATAAAATCATAATTAGTTTCTTCCGTATCTGAGTTTGTTTTCGATATGCTCTTCTCTTCCATGTGTTCCATTTTAATCTGTGTATATTTCGTTATACGAATCTCATATCTTATTTGGATTGTGTTTTTTTCGGTGTGCTTACTATGATCTGTTTCTGCAGGGTTTATTTTCGGTGTGCTGATCAATCTTGTTGCTCTGATCCTGAAGTAATCAGTATAATCAAGAACTCAGAAGCAGATAATACAATTGAGGAGACTTTGGTAGATGAATCTGTGATATACCTTGAAGAGAGGGCAAACATATATGAGGATGAAATCAATCTGGTTGCTTTGATTCTGATGTCATCGATATGACCAAGAACTCAGAAGCAAATAACAGAATCGAGGAGACTTTGGTAGATGACTCTGTGAAAGAGATCCAAGAGAAGGAAGACAAAGATGAAGAGGAAGATGAAGGTGCTGATCAAACTAGTTATTTTATCTCAGAAGTTATCGATATGACAAAGAACACAACAGCTGGTAATGCTACTGAGGATAAATATGATGCTGGTAAAGATACATTAAAGGATAAAGCTGAAGACTGCAAAGAGGAGTCTCAAGACCAGACTGAAGTTATGTTGATGACAAAAGAAAACACAAAGGTTCCATTTAACCGTACAAGAAAACCCTGCAACCAAGAAGAGCCAGAGTCTACCATTTCATGGACAATCATCAAATGTAAGAAACCCGTTGCAGAGACCGAGGATTTAAGAGCATTCAATCCAAGAGAACCCAATTACCTTCCAATTACAGTGGAGGAGGATCCTGAAAAGGTGGACCTCAAGCATCAAGACATA